AACTTAATAATAAACAAGTAAATTGCTTGCGCTCTTTAAGCCTTTTACAGATCCACCAAAATCTTATATTTTATTCACTATATACAATACACACTACATACACTGCCCTATACTGCTTATATATATATATATATTTTTTAATAGATAACTTATTAGTAGCTATCACTCAACTGATCCAAACCTAACAAGAGTAGATGGACACCATTAATACAGGAGGCAATATAAATACAAATGCAAACGTTCAAAATGTCTCTAATAATAATGCTAATAACAATGCTCCAAAAATTAGTATTAGAATCTCAACATACAGGGGAAAGCTGAAAGATAATGTTGTTGTCTGGTTTCTCCAAGTCAAAGTATTTTTCATACTCAAGGAATCAATGATGATGCAACAAAAATACATTATGCAGTCATAGGATTTGAGAGAGCTGCCTTGTATTGGTATCTCAATAGAGTAATAGTAGCAGAAAATAATATCCTTTTGCTAATTGCGACAGATTTGCAACAGCTGTTTGCCAAGCATTCTAGCCTCCCAACTATAATATGAAACCCAATTCTATAATATAATAGGTTAAGTAGAAAATATAAACAAAATAGACAAAGTTATCTATTTTATTGAAAGCCTCAAACATGCTATCAGAACAGAAGTAGCTTATCAGATGCCAGCTATTTTAAAAGAAGGTTGGGCACTGGCAATTCGATATGACACCACAATATTCAGAACTGGTAAACCTTTTTTTAACAAACTACAACAAAAATACACACACAAATCTGAGAGAGAAAATGGAGGATCCACACTAATGGAATTGGATTATGCTAGAAATTCCTCAAGTAATCACAAGCATAAAAAGAATGGGCAGAAAGGAAATTGTTTTAAATGCAGGTTGCCAGGCCATTATACAAAAAATTGTAAATCTAAAAATAAATCAAAACTTACCAATATAGAAGAGGGAGCAGAACCAACACTACATAATATTACAAATATTAGTTTAGAATTAACACAAGTGGAGAAAATTATGAACAATTGTTAAGGTTTTATGGCAAAATCAATGGTTACCTAGCTTGGATTCTACTAGATAGCAGAGTTTCCTGCAATTTCATTAATGAAAATTTTGTAATCTGCTATAAATTAACTTTAAAAACTGTTTCTTCTCTTATAGTTGAATTGGCAGACAGCCAGAAAGCTAGCACCAACAAAGCGATTGATATTACAAAACTGGAACTAGACCCTTACCATACCTCTAGTATTTCTAGTCTTAAAACTTCAATGTTATAATGCTATACTTGGTAAACCATGGTTGTATTATACTAACCCCACATCAATTGGAGGAAAAATATCTTAGTTTTTCAGTATAGGTCTAAAACAATTAAAGTTCAAGCAGACCCCTGAAAAACACAAAAGGAACATAGTTGTAATTCAGTATTCATTTCTTGGAAACAATTAGCTAAAGTACTTAGTAATGAAGAAATTTTTACCATACATGTTAATAAAGAAGATAATGAAAACACCAGCCACCTACCACCTGAAGTTCGAAAGATTCTCCAAAACTTTAAAAAAATTTTCTCTGAAACATTACCAGACCACCTGCTCCCAGAACAAAATATTGATCATGCTATTGATCTTGTACCAGAGTCAGAACCCCCATTTTGCCCCATATACCAAATGTACTATGAAGAATTAGACAAATTAAAGTGTCAGTTAGCTGACTTGCTAAAAAAAACTTTATCTGCCCTAGCATCTCTCCTTTTAGTACTCTAGTTTTTTTTGTTTATAAGAAAAAGGGAACCTTAAAACTATGTATTGATTACAGGGTCTTGAATAAAATTATTATCAAAAACAGGTATCCACTTCTCTGCATTGATGAATTGCTAGATAGGTTGGTTGGTGCTAAATATTTTACAAAAATTGACTTGTATTCAGAGTATTACAAAATTTGGGTTAAAGAAGAAAATATTTCTAAAACCACCTATCATACCTGCTATAGTCATTACGAATTCTTGTATTGCTCTTTAGATTTACAAATATACCTGCTATATTAATAATCTTGATGAACGACATTTTTAGAGAATATCTTGATAAATTCATTATTATATATCTTGATGATATCTTTATCTACAATAAAACAAAACAAGATTATAGATACTACTTTCAGAAAGTTCTAGAAATTTTAAAAGAAAACAAACTTTATGCCAAGATTAGTAAATGAGAATTTTTTAAAAAAAAGTTGAATATCTTAATCATTATTTATCTGCAGAAGAACTCTCGGTCAATGACAAAAAAATTGCTACCATTCAGAGTTCGCCTGCACCTACTAATATAACTAATATTCATTTATTTCTCAGTTGGCTAGTTATTACAAAAAATTTGTAAAGAGATTTTTGTCTATTGCTATACCCCTTACGAAATTGCTCTATAAGGACCAACCTTTTAAGTGAGAACAGTCTGAGGAAGCTGCCTTTAAAATATTGAAATATTACCTTATTTTTGCTTCTGTTCTTGTTCTTCCTAACCCTACCAAACCTTTCTCTATTATCACAGATACATCAAACTTTGCAATTGGTGCTGTTCTTAGCTAAGACTATAGAAAAGATAATTAACTAATTGCCTATGAGTCAAGAAAGTTGTCTTCTGTTAAACTAAATTACCCTACATATGAAAAAGAATTATTAGCTATTGTTTATGCTATTAAGTTATAGAGACCATATATTGAAGGATGTAAGTTTACTATAATTATCCTTAGAATACATTAAATCTCAACACCAACTCTTGCGAAAAAAGGCTTGATGGTTGAAAGTTCTACAGTTAATAGATTTTGAAGTTAAATATAAGCCAGGAAAAACTAATGTTGTTGCAGATGCCTTTTCATAGTAAACTTACTTAAATAATATCACTACAGTTTCAACACAACTTACGGATAAAAAATTTTTTAAACAAGAATATTTTAAGAACCCGTATTTTTCTCTGATACTAAAAATTTTTAAAGGAGAATCAATCAGCAATATCAAACAACAAGTATGGGTAAAATATTTTGAATTAGTAAATGGAAAGGTATACTTAAAGGAAGGATCAGATTGGCAATTCTAGCAAATAAGGAGTTAAGAATACAACTACTTTACAAATATCATGATGTTAAAATGGCAAAATATTTGGGTATGGACAAGACTTACAAATTGATTAGTCAAAATTATTTTTGGCCAAAACTCTACAAAGATATAAAAAATATGTCAGTAGCTGTGACCAGTGTCAAAGAAATAAGAGTAATAATTAGCAACTTACTGGCCTTCTACAACCTCTAGCTATTCCCAAGAAACACTAAAAACAAATTACCATAGATTTTATAGTCCAACTGCCCTTAACAAAAAAAGGATATAATGCTATTTTGGTATTCATTAACAAGCTAACAAAACGCACCTATTTTTGCTCCCACTCACACTACAGTTACAGCCCCTGAAGTCGCTAAGATTTTCTTTTTTACCATCTTCAAGAACCATGGGTTGCTAAAAGTAATTATATCAAATAGTGATGCCAAATTCACTAGCAAGTTTTAGCAAACTTTTTTTGCCTAGCTAGAAACTAAATTAGCTATGTCAATAGCACTCTACCCACAAATAAACAAACAAACAAAAAGAATAAATAAAATATTAGAAGAAATGCTAAGAATATATTCAACATACAAGCAAGATTAATGGGATGAATACTTACTAGCTGCTGAATTTACTTACAACAATTTCAAGCATGCATTGACAGGTTTCACTTCTTTTGAGTTAAATATAGGGAAATATTCCAATACTCTAACATCACTAGCCGCTAAACCTCCAACCTATATACCAGCAATGGATGACTTTCTCAGACACTGGAAAAATATGATCAAGGTAGCAAAATATGCATTAATTATCACTTAACAAAAACAAACTCAATATGCAAATAAAAAGCATCGTCATCTAGAATTCAATATAGGTGATAAAGTACTATTATCAACAAAAAATATAGTTAGTCTAACTGACAAACAGAGACCTACAAAGAAACTAACTTCTAAATATATAGGACTTTACTTAATCATTAAAGTAGTTTCAAAAGTAGTCTACAAACTTAACTTGCTTAATGAATAAAAATCTATCCTGTATTCTATATTTCCTATTTATACTATATAAAGAATTAAAGAACTTTACCAGATCAGTGCCCCACTTGCGATCTTTATACCCGAGACTCAAGAAATAGAATATGAGTTTGAATCTATTCTAGACCAAAAGGTAGTGAACAAAAGAAAATATTATTTAGTAAAATAGGTGGGCTACCTATTACATGAAGCAATATGGGAACTCTTGGATAATTTACAAAATACTTCTACAAAAATTAGAGAATTTAAAGTTCAACGTGGACATTGATTTTAAGAGGAAAGAATGTAATAAGCCACAGTAAAATACGATACTAATTTTTTTACAAGGCACTTATATACAATAATAGATATTCAATGAACTTGTCACAGAAACAAGCCCGAGTTAATGTATACAACCATTAGATTATTATTTTATAATTTATCTAACTGTAGCCCTCTATTATTTATCCTAACCTAATAATTTAATAAATATAACAATCATAGTAGATACTAGTATAATGATCGTTTTATTATATTTATTTTATTTATATACCCCTAAATTACAAACTATATTTCTGGGAAAAGTAAGGTTTAAGATCAAAATCACGATATACTAATATTTATACTAGTTTCACACAATTAATTAATTTATTTATATATTGCTCAAAATATATAAAAGTCGCTCAATTTTCTCTAAAATAAAAAGTAACTTGTAAGATTAATAAAAATATAACCAAAAAAACTTAACAATAAACAAATAAATCACTTATGCTCTTTAAGCCTTTTTACGGATCTACTAAAATCTTACAAATGGCTAGACAAAGTGCATCTCTAAACCTTATTTTGGGTAGTTCAAAAGAGAAAAAAAATAGAACAAGAGCAGATATTCTCAAGGGTCTAATTCAAGAAAAAACTTTCAAAAAGATTCTTGCCAACATAAAGCCCCTAAAACAAGTGAAAAATTATATAAAAAATGTAGAAAATTTGATATAGAATTTTTTTTATGAGAACATTTGGAAGCAAAGATGTGCAATTGTTAATGAATAGGAATAGAAAGAAGGTATTAATATGAAATAAAAGAAAGAGGGCAAGCTATAGTGCTTCTAAATCCAGTTTAGGTCCAGTTCAGTTTAGGTCCAGTCCAGAGTCAAACTGAACTCAAACTCTAAATTTTATTATTTTCAAACTTTGGACCAAACTCAAACTCAATTTTAAGTTCGGTCTGGGTTTGGTCTAAATTTTCAAACTAGTTTGAATCTAGTCTGATAGGTTTTTTTGTAGCTTAGCTCTGGGTTCGATCTGATATTATTATCATTATATAACTTTTTGATTTTTGCATCACTAATCTACAAGTTTTGACCCTCAAACCAATAATCATATGACTGATATCTTTGTCTTTCTACTTGCCTATCTATCCTATATTTATATCCTGATATATAGTTTTCTTATTGCCATATCGAGTTATACTCTATTTCTTATACATCTAGTTTATTTCTATATTCGAATACCATATTGAGATTGATATCAATGCATAAAAAGTTATAAGGTGAAATCTCTTTAAATCACATTAGAGTAACTAGCCATCAAACAGATTACTAATATTTGATCAGAATACATTTACTTATTATTATGTTCTACTAACTTGACAAAGCTTTCATCGTGGCTTGAATATTTTAGAAGAAGTTTTGATTAAGATAAAAGAGTGAGAAGTGAGTTTTATTGGTGTTAATAGAATTAAGGATTAGTAATAGAATAGTGTTGTATCAGTATAGGAAGCTTTAGTTGTCATGTAAATATAAAACTCTTCGAATTCGCTTTGCTTGAGAATAATAGAGAGTAAGAGAAAAGACTAGTTGGTTTGTTCTCTTAGCAGAATTGGTTTGTTTTCTCAATTGAGTTGGTCTGTTTTCTCAATTATAATAGTGGTTCATTCTCTTCCTTATAATTATTACTTTCATATTCTTATTTTATTTTATTCTTTTTACTTTTATATTATGATTCTATGAATACATCTTAACAATACTTAATGTATTTATTGATTATTAAATTATCGAATCCAACACATTATATTTGTCTTCGCATATTTTTAATAATAAAGTACAATTACATATACACCAAGTATCATTCACAATTATATACACATGCTACATATCCTTAATATCCTTATTAAATTACATAATCGTTAAGATTCTTAATGATCATTTGAGTTTATTCTTATTATGACTTCACATATTATTCTTAATATCTTCTCATCATATAACCATCATATACTTATAATTCTTACTACATTCTTTATATTTATCTCGCATACAAGACATATATATTAATCATTATCTATTTCGTTCACTATTGCTGACCTAAACCCAGCACCTGCTTACTAATACTCTCTCGATCTGATAGTAACACTGAATTTTTAAACTAGTTTTAAGCATATACCAAGAACATAAGTATAGGCAAATAAACTAAAAGCAAAATCTTAAAGCTGATTAGATAATACGTCTGTACAGATTATGATTTTTTTTATAATACTGATTTTTGAAGATCATTTTTCTTACACATGACTACTAATAGCCTTTTATAAACTAGTTTTGTATAATAGGTTAGCTACAGGTTTTTCTTAGTTAGAATTATTATCACATATAATTGTAAAGTGACAAACTATATCAATATAGTAATATAAAGTTAGTATAATTGACTTTCTGGATTACTTAGCTTTACTTTTTTATTACTGAGTGAAAACAAGTACACACTTATTATTGTTAATAGAAAAATATCAATTCTTCAAACCATAATAGTTTAAAATGGAAAGCAACAATAGACAGAATTAATATTTAGTTTTCTTATTATAATGGAAAAAAAAGAAATGATATTTACCAACTTAAATAGTATATATAATATTAAAGCTTATTCTTTTATATATTTTTAAAAAGCAGTATACGAATTGCAGTATTAAATCTAATTGTATATATTATGTTCCTGGTTTTAGGGCAACTACGTTGTTAATTGAAGAATAAACTGAAAGCAAAATCTTAAAGTTGATTGAATTATACATTTGTACTGATTACATTTTTCTTATAACTAATTTTTAAAGATCAGTTTTCTCATACATGACTACTGATTTGTCACTTTAGCCTTTATAAACTGTTTTCGTAATGATTGCTATATTGTCTTATTAGATACAGATTTTTTTAGTTAAGATTGTGATCGTATATGATAATTAAGTAACAAAATGATAGTAGAAGGGTATTATATCAATCCAATATGAAATTGGTAGGGTGAAAGAAAAAGGATGTATTTGTAAATACAATATATTCAAGGGTGTAGAAGGTGGTCATTTTTCCTATTCACTTTGCAGAAAGACAGCTCTATCCCTTCCATTCTGCCTAATAAGCTTTATAATTGGCAGCTGGTTTGTTAGGCGGTATATATTGGCAAGTAAAGTCATATTTCACAACTGCAAATACCATGTTTTTGTAGCAATTAGCTTTAAGGCTGTAGTAGCCTTACTAGTTAGGCTCTGCAGATATAGTAGAAATTCAAGAACTTTATCAGTTAGGTTTGTGAATATAGAAGAAGTGCAAGGACCTTATCAGTTTGGCTCTGTAGATGTAGTAGGAGTACAAAGTCCTTAGCTTTTGACACCATATCTACAGTAGTTGTACAAGAAACTTTGTTAAATAGGTTGTGGTCTTTGTATTATATCTATATTTCAAATCAGTTTATAAAATACTATAAAAAAATATATAAACTATTTTAATTTAAACAAGTATATATAAAACTTCTAAAACTGATCTGTCTGGAGTCTGAGAATAATTTAAATGTTCATATTAAATGTGTAATTAATTAAAAATCATGCTTATATCTATAAGTCACTTTTATTCAAATATTCGTTCATGCATTTTTAATACATTGAAGTTGATTTATTACTGTACTAAACTCATATATAGCATTTATTTCTATAATTAAACTACTATCACAAATTTATTTTATTATGAGTGATTAGAATTTATTATGCTGCGATATGTCATATACTACTATGTAATTGATAATTTTAATACTGATCAATTGAATGATTAGAAATTTTTTTATTTATGCTCTTATCCTATACTCAGAACTCATCTGGAATATATTTCTCACCTATTGTCTGGCCTTAAGTTCTCTTTACTTTGCTCCAGAAATAAGTTACAAAAACTATCAGACCCAAACTTCAGATTGAACTCCAGACTAGAAAAAAGTTTGAGTCTTAATTAAAGTTTGGTTTATAAGTATATTCAGACTTGAACTAGGTTTCAAACTTTGAACTGAACCTGAACTGAACTCAGACTTAACTAAAAAGTTTGAATATAAAAGTTTAAGTCCAGTTCAAAAATCAAACCAAACTCAAATTTGACTAAAGTCTGGTTCGGGTCTGGTTTGTAAAAGTACTAGCAAGCTGAAATCTGAAAGATCTTTTGCTATCACAATGCAAATGATTGAGAATTTAGAGGAGTTTAATGTAAATCAGAACCAAATTTTGGGAAAGGTTAAAAAAAAGAGACAGAAAAAAGAAAATTGCTGGCTAGCTTGATATAGCCCTTCGGTGTAAGCAAAAGCCTTAACCAGTAAAGCAGACTACTTTTGAGCATTTCTAGAGGAGCCAAGAGATGTCGAATCTGCAACTTAAATAGTTTAACATATGTATACATATATATGCTTTGATTTAATAAAAGATATCGGTGAGCTGCCGATAATAGAAAAAAAAATTAAAATAGAAATAATATAATGTTAACTATAGGTAATTATCACCTGTGATTTACAATACAAATTTTATAAAACAAAATTTAATTTCTTTAATATTAGGGTTAAGGTAAAGGTTAGGAATTAGAAGATAAATTAGTTTATAGTAAAATTTTGCAAAAATCTTTTTTTGTTAAAACTTAAAAGGTAGTTTCTTGAACAAAATTTTGAGATATAGATAGTTTTTTAAATTTTTTTTGTTATTGTTATACAAAATTAATTGGCAAATTGTATTACAGGTAATAATTACCTGTGGTATATATTAAAATTCTCTATTAAAATATATAATATTTTTACTATAGTGTCTATATTTTTAATATAGTTAACTTCTATATAATCACTTAGTTAGAAATATAGAAATTTTTTAAAAAATGCTTATAAAAGATTATATTATATGGAGATTTTTCTATATATTTATAGTAGTTTATTTAAAAAATTAAGTGTTTATATAAAGTTGTAATTATAAAAATATGACTATATAGAATTATAGCTAAAAAATAAAATTAATAAATAAAAAAAATTTAAAATATAAAAAACTACTATAAAGCTTTAAAATTTTTTGATACTAATTTATAAATTAAAGATAATTTTAGAGTTAAAAAATATTTTATTTTAATATCTAAAACAAATATAGATATTAGATAAAATAGTGATATATGTATAGATTTATAGAAATTGGGCCTTTTTTTAAATCACCAAATCTGCAAATCATCATATAATAATTGGTATAAATACCCAAAAATACTTGTTAAATTTATTTTCACATTTAAATAATATATGTCAACCTAATGAACCTACCTAGAAACTAATGAACGAAATTGCTTGCAATGAAGTAAAGACAATAAAAGTTACAAAAATTTTAATTTGCTTAAATATTTATTTTTTTTTATAATCTCAAATTTTTTAGATCTACTTGTTGTTTATTAGTTTTTATTTTAGTTATTTTAATTTATTTTTGTAAGTATAAAGCTAATTTATTACTTAGTGAATACTTTAATTTAGTCTGGCTAAAAATAAGAGCAAGACTTATTTAATACCTATTTAGTTCAATAAGTACTATATATAGTTTATTATTTAAGTAATGAAATTAAAATCAGCAAATTATATATATGCAATTAATACTTATGATATTTATTTACTTTAATTTATAGTATCTAAATAGATAGGTCAAAGTTCAACTTTTATTAGTGAAAAATAAATTATTTAGTCAAGCAAATTCATTATTGTGATAAAAAAAAAAATAGTAGAACCCTTTTTTTTATCATAGAGTTGTGCTGATTGGCCAATATTTAATATCTATATTTTATATAAATTTTTGACAAAATTATTATAAAGGTTACTT